TATTGAACTGTGGAGAGAAGAAAGCAATAGATATCATATATTCGTCTTTATAAGATTTTTCATAATTTAGCATGATACTGTCATTAGCAAAATGGGAGTCCAGACATAAAAATACACTAGGGCTGCTGTGGACTTGGTCTACTAACCTGTATCTGGGGAAGTTATTAGCAGTTCATCATCAAAAAGGAGGGATGGAATTGACACAATGCTTACTAAAGCTGTAGACATCACCAAGCTAGGAGGGACTGCAGATAAATGGGAGGACAGCCTGGGATTGTAAAATGATCGCAACAAGTTGGAAACATAGTCTAGAAAAAAGCATCATTTTGCCCAGAAGAGGCCAGCATAAGGTATTGCACTTGGCTGGCAGTATTTAGCAACACAAATACAGAATGGACTACAAGTAAAGTAGACAGGGGTTTGGAGGTTAATTTTAGATCATAGACTGAACAGTAACCAGGAACAGTTACGCCCATAATGTTAAGCAAAATAATATACAGAAACAGATAAACAGAAGTATAACCTTCAAGATCTTAAAAAAAAAAAAAAAATTGAGACCAAGAACCCTATTATGCTCAGCATGGCAAAGTCTTCAGCTGGAAAATTATGACAAGCTTAGGGAGCTGCACCTAGAACAATTTAAAGAAAAATCTAAGTGGAATATTTTGAGCTCTAGGGAGTATTACATGTAAGAATGGAATGACTGTATTAGGGTTGACTAATCTATGCAAAAATGTATCTAATATATAAAAATATATCTACCCAATACAAAAGCCTGTTCTAAAGAGAAAGAAAATTAATTGGCTTCCATATATATGGTGGAAAATAGAGAATGCAATTGTTAAATTTCAGCACAGAAAATTAGAAATGAAAGTACCTTCTTATAGACAAAGATATTAAAATACTAACACAGATGACCTGAGGAAGGAGGTTGTGAATTCTCTATGATTGTAGGTAGGCAAGGCATTTCTCTTCAGACAGGAGTCATTCACTTGCTTTCCCTGAAAGATTCAGTCCCATAAGTGTTGTCACCAAATGCAAAGAGTAGTTAAGGTAGTCCAGTATTGCCAGGTTGTTGTGCATTAAATGCGTTTTGCTATATTGAAACAAGTTAAGAGAGGAAGTCAACAATGCAGACTGAAATTATTTATTTGGCTGCTAATTCATCAAGTGTCAGTGAAATGAAAGAGATTTTATTTCTGTGTTTCCAAGTCAGATTTATCTGAAGCTTGACTTATGGGAGATGGCTTCTTAAAAAGCTGATGATCATATGTTGAAAATGCTTTTGGACCTGTGAGAAACTCAGGTTTGTAAGGTCAAATTTCTCATGGCATCTTTTTTACTTTTTGCAAAAAAAGACTAGTAGTTATAATCTATTTATTTATGGTGTTAATGCTCATGTTAAGTATCAGAATCAGCATTTATAAAGGGAATTCTGTTTTTTTCAACTTGTAATTTGCTTTGCCTGCACATTCTTGCCCAGTGCAAATATTATAAAATATTAAAGGAAAGCTTCATGAAATGTTATAGACCATGACTGAGTGAGGAAAGACAAGGTTCTAAGGATGGTTATGTAGTAATTTCAGTGATTCCTGGAACGGTTCCGTAACATTTCTTGTTGATATTGCTATGTCAGACCTGATGCATAAAGCAGATTTCTCTGTTCCTGTTTCTTTCAGTTCCTCTCTGAAAAAGAAATTCAAGGGGATGATGTCGCAGCCAAGGGCCATGCTAAAATACGCAGTAACATTAACAAGTTAGTAGAGAGTTTAATGCTGGCCATCAGTATAGTACTGTATGCTGACTTTCAGCATTTGCATTTTTAATTCAGTATTCACTACTCCTGGTGATGCTGCTCAGTATATACACCTAATGATGTAACTGCACTTTGTGAGAATGAAATCAGCATATCTGCATAAAATGGTGAATGATTTGTTGAAAATCTCCATTTACACCTTCCTGCTAAAGTTTGGGGCACTTTTTATATTCATGAAAATTGACAAAAAAAAAAAAAAAGAAGTGCTAGGAAAAATGAGTATTGAGCTAACATAGTCTGTTTTTGCATGGTGTAACTATCAAGTTAATGCATATGATTTATCCTCTATAGTAAATCAGCAATATGACTCATTTTAGGCATCTCCTATGACTGCTGTTTTTTACTGCAGTATTCAGTCATACTGATTTATGCTACACTATCCTATGAATATTTTGCAGAGTATTATCAATAATATAATTCTATCTCTTGGTCCAGATAGAATGAATTTAGAGCACAAAGCAGTCAGAAAGCATGATTCCTTCCTCAAGTAGTTTACTGCTTGAAATAAACTTGGTATAAAATGTGAGACGGGGTGCGAGGCATCAGTGATTGGGGGCCTGGATCTGGAAAAGTGTCAGCTCAACTAACAAAATATTTTATTCTGTAAGGGCTTATGTACTCGATAGCATGGTTCTGTTTGACTGGAAGGGTCATTAGGGTCATGGCAGGTGAGCAGGGCCAAATTAGAACAGTGAGTGTTGGCAGACAGATCTACTCAGGTTAATACAAGCAGACATGAGTCTCATTAGACTGCCTGCATAAGAAATTGCAGCAATGGGAGAGGACTGGTGATACCAAAATAGGTAAAGGGCTCTGGTCTCGCTTACTGCACTTGAGACCGAGTCAGGAATAATTGGCTGAAATAATCTTGTTTATTGTAGGTCTTTACTAGAAGTAGCATTCTTGCTTAAGGGGGGCTATAGGGATACTGGGGATGGACTATTCATTAGGGACTGTAGTGAGAGGACAAGGGGTAACGGGTTAAAACTTAAACAGGAGAAGTTTGGATATAAGGAAGAAATTCTTTACTGTAAGGGTGGTGAGGCACTGGAATGGGTTGCCCAGGGAGGTTGTGAATGCTCCATCCCTGGCGGTGTTGGACCAGGTTGGACGAAGCCTTGGGTGGCATGGTTTAGTGTGAGGTGTTCCTGCCCATAGCAGGGGGGGTTGGAACTAGATGATCTTAAGGTCCTTTCCAACCCTAACTATTCTATGATTCTATGATTCTATGATTCTATGTAGCATTTCCTTTGAACTGTGCTATAGGTACTACCCTTTTGTTTTATTGACTGACCTGCTTATCCTGTATATAAGAACCACCAAAGATAAAATTCAATCATTTGCAAGTGTACTCGTCCTCATTTGCACTACTGTAGCTTACATTTTTGTTCTGCATTCTAGCTAAATAGAGTCTAATCCAGATGTGCAATAAATCCTTTTTTAGGAGCCTCAGGCAAAATATGAATGACTAGAGATCCAAATGTCATCTTTTGTTTGTATTCACCTCTCAACATTGTACCATATATTAAATACTTTAGCATAACTATTTTAATCTCAGAACTGTGGTTTTGACTGCTTTGAGAAGTGTGCTTTCAACCTTTTGAATTGTACTTAGATGAAAAATTTATGTATGTGAATGTATAGACGTATTTTAATTTTCCACAAAACCTGAATTCAGTTTAAATTCTGTTTTGTTTTATGTTCTACTCTGATCATTTATAATCCCCGGGGAGGCCTAGTGAAAACACTTGATAGATCAGTTAACTAACTTAATACTGGATACATCACTGATGTACTCCAATGTAATTTATGTTTCCAAATACTTGAGAAAGTGTTACAAGATTTATTCTTTCAGCAGTGTGCATCTTCTTTGAAGTCACTTACATACTTTTTCTTAGAAAAAAAAGTTTTTTGGATGAGGTGGTTCTCTGAAGTTGAGTTTTGGAAACTAGTTGCACATTTGTTGTGGCACACCTCTGAAGAGGCGTAACATGAAATTGATAGGTATTTTCTGTGGTAAAACACAGGGTCGGACCCTTATCATGGGAAGAAAATGTAAAAATAAAGCAAGTCCGTCATGCTTTAAACTAGTATTCTACATCTACTGTGGTAACATGTTGGGATTCAAATATATGCTAAAAGTATATCGCTGATAAATATAGGGAGAAGTAGGAGAATGGGGAAGAAAGTGAAAAACCTTTGGTCTCTAACGGGATGCTGTTGATTATGAAGTTCACCAATCTTCATGTGTCAAATCTCCACAACCATTTCTTTTGATAAGGGGAAAAAAATTGTTAAAAAAATTATTCTGGTCTCAGGTCAAGTTCAGGTAGTAAACTTGAATCTCTGAATTTGGAGATGTGTAGTCTAGATTAAAACCATGCAGTGAATCTTCTGTTGTTTTCTAAGGAATAGCACTAGCCATTCTAAAAAGTGATCTACTCAAAACAGTGATCAGGATTGCATGTGAAATTAAATTCATTAGCATTGCCCCAGGCTTACACAATTCTCTGCATATCATCTTCTGTTCCATAGTTTCACAGAACAGAATGTGTTTCATTTATTTTTCCTTGAGAATTTACTTGGCCTAATATCTTGGCAGCAGTCTACAAACTTTGCTATGTTATACGGCTGCCAGGAAGAATAAAGAAATGGTTTTCAGTCTTCCATTAATAAAACTAAAATTCCTGAATTAAATATTTGTTTTCTTGCTGTGATACCAGTCAAACCAATGTCAATCTCTTAAACTTTGTCCAAGGAAATTTTCATGCAATTTGAACTCAGTAAAACTTGCAGCTAGACAAATTTAGACTAGAAGGAAGATGCAAATTATGGAGAGCTGAGATAATTAATATCATACATGACTTGCCAAAGATTACAGTTGGTGCTCATCAGTGATAAGCTCAAACTCAATACAGGATGCATTTTCTAGGAGTAACGTTGTAGTTCACCCATAACTACTGATCCAGAAGCAGGAGTTACTGAAAGTGTTAGGAACTAGACCAGGTAAGATAAGTTGATCACAAAGCTATTTTCAGGCCTGAAAATTAGTCAACTTTTTCTAATTTTACTTATCACTTGCGAATCAAATAGAAACCTCTCAGAACAGCTTTTTGCTGATTTTCAGTATATATAAAAATCTTAGTTCATTTTTTGTTGTTTTTTTTTTTTTTCCTCCGGACAGGTGTGTCTAATTACAACAGCTTCTATGTTTTTTGCAAAAGTATCTGCCAGTCTGTGAAACCTGGGAAACTCAGGGTCCGCTGCAGTGAGTGTAAACAAGGAACACTGACGTTGACAAGGGTAAGATTTTGTGTGTGTTTGTTTCAAGGTTTTGGAGTATATGGAAATGATATATCTAATGTTACCTATTTACCTACATGTATATATACATTTCTACTTTTTCTTTTTCTTGCTGATCATAACTCAGAAGAGTAATTCAAAGGATTCTGAAAATTTCACTCGCTTATCTCCATTATTTCCAGCTCACATAAGGAACACATTGCAGACTAGAGCTCCAATACTCAGCTTTAAATTTTAAGAACTTAATGATTAACCTGGTACTATGTACCACGTGTGCAAATACGTGTGTATTAAAAAGTTGTAATTAGGGATGCTTATAAGAAAGCTTGAAGCAGTTGTTAAGGACACAGAAAGACCTCAGTTCATGTCTTGATTGTGAATATTATGGAATGAGACAAGGAAGGATTAAGTGGCTGTGCAGTTGGGAATCTTTATCTTTCCAGCCTAGCTGCTGCATGTAAAGTCAAGGGAAAGTTGACTTCTGCTGGGACAGAAAGTTAGTAGGTCTGTCAAGCTTGTTTTTTATTCTAGAATGAGAGAATGATGTTTGACTTGAATGCACAGTAGTGTTAAGTTTTGGAGGAATGTTTCTTTGCGTTGCTGAATTTCACTGGTTGTACTACTGGGGAATGAGAGTCCTTTCTCATAAATCAGTGTTTGTCAACGAGGTTTGATTTGTGAGAGGCTTAAGTTTTGTAGGAGACTTTACCATGCTTTAGGTTAGGGGTAGGCTTTCAAATTTGGCACATGTTCAAGTGTTTAAATTTGTCTTTCAAGGTAAAGTAGTTAATTACAACTTCATGTCCTTGATGTAGCTCAGTGCTTCAGTGTCGTTACATGTAATAGCATGTGAGACTTTAAAAAGGCCGCTCCTATATTCTCACTGAAAAGAATAAAGTGTAGAAGAAGAGAAGTTGCCATACTTTTGCATACATTTCCAATGATATTATCTTCAGGATGAAAATACAGATGACATTGTACTCAGCTTGAATACCAGCAGTGAGTGCTGCTGAAAGACATTGATGTTGTCATTAGATGAGTTTGAATTTTTATGTGTTGCATTGACAGCACAAAACATGTCTTTTGCTAGACTCAGTGGCTTTCTTCAGCATGCTAACTTTTGGAAATTGTTACTATCCCATTTGTGCCTATTGGTTTGGAATCATTATAATCCTTGTAGTAGATTTCAATAGATTTCTGAACTTTTAAGTTTTTACAGTTTCTGCTAAATAATGTTCTTCATTTTGGAGACTTAAAAAAGTAAAAAAATCAATTTCTTCACTGTCTTCCAAGAATCCCTCATAGCTCTATGATAAAACTCTATTATAAAAAGTTCCAGAATGGGATATTCTAAATACACTTTTTGTATCTGATTGTCTGGAATGTATAGGGGTCTGCATACTTTCAGCAAACGCAGGGCCAATAACACAATAAATATGCACAAGCTGATCATTTCCATTGAATGAGCAGAGTGCAGCTACTTCTTTTTCCTGTTAACATATTTTACAGTAGAAAAGCAAACAACTGGAAAGAAAAGAAAGTAACTGGAAACTTGTAGTGGAATCACTGATGATTTTCAAGATTGATTCAAAAAATCCCAGTTTTCAGATGATTTTAGAAGGTACTTCAGCATAAGAATACAAAAAAGGGAAATATCTTTTAGGGATTATCAAATGGTGATTTTTGTCTGGTTTAGTTTTCAAAGGATTGTCTACAAAAATAATTTGTACTTAAGGTTATTGTTACTTTCTCCCCAAAACAAAGAAAATATTTTATTATTCTTTTCCTATCAAATTGAAGCAAAGCACAGTACTAAGGACAGTGGATGTGCCATTCCAGCACTTTGGGCTGGCAGTCCTCAGGACTTACAAAGTGCAGTATTTACAATATGAGCACACTTACTGTTGTGAATGTGCTATGCAACAGTCAGTTTGTTTTATAAATACATACCATCTACTTCAGTTCTGCGGTTATGAAATTACATGGAGATTTGGCATGTCCCTGGCCCTTGTGACCTCTTTTCTTCTCACTTTCTGGTTCATCTTCCAAGGAGACAGAAAATATTTCCAGCTGGGGAAGTTTGAAATATGTACTAAGTCCCATTTATTTTTTGCTAATGGTGTAGAGACCTCTCTGCATTAATTTTTCCCCAGTTCTCTGTGAACTGTGCCTGACCTTTATATGTCAAAACAGCAGTGTTCTTGATAAGCTCTCTTGTGCCATAAGCAGCAAAGCGCCATGTAAACCAGCACTGGTTACACTAATTCTTTTATTGAGATGAAAGCGAATACCTGTGTAAAACCCACACAAAGATTTGGGCAGCCTTAACTTACTTTACATGCTAATCCTTTTCCTACCTATGCCACAAATGACCAACCTGATTAAACTGAGCTTTCTTTTTTTCATGGTGTGTTGACTGACATATTAAAATATTACCTATTCATTTAAACACCCTTATGCTAAAACCTTATTTAACTGTCATGCCTATTTGTATAGCATCATTTTAATATATGATGCTCAGAGTAAATTTATGATGCTGTATTTCTGTGAAGTTAAAAAGCCCAGTGTTTTTATTATTACCAAAGACATCCATCTAAATATTAAATTTGTAATTTAAATTAATTTGTGATTTTCCAGTTGACACTTAGGTTGATTTTTATGAACATTTCATGAACTAATGCTTTATGGGAGATATATACCAGGTTGATTTACTTATAAGAGAACATCAATCGCTGCAAAATTACCACCTCTCCATAGTTTCTCTAATTAATCAATCAGAAAAGAATGGAAAGATTGGGATGTGGGAGTTTTATGTAGACCACCAACAAGCCTGGCAGCAACTTTATTCAAATAGCTTGAAAATGTTAGCCATTCATTTCACACTATTTTTGTTGTTGTTGTTGTTGTTGCTGCTTTTAAGCTTTTAAATTATTTACTTCAAATACATACAAGACTGCAATTTGTTTCGGAAACAATGATTTAGATGATAAGGATATTCCTTTTCCAAGAAACAAACAAACAAACTGAACCACAAAAAAATACTGATATGTAGAAATCACATTTATAATCCTTTTTTTTTTTTTTTTTTTTTTTTTTAACCATAGCAGTGTTAACATTCACAATGTTAACTCTCTAGTGAAAAGGAAAATGCCTATCTGCAAACAAAATGCCTGATTCTGCAGACTGGTATACACCAAGCTATACACATAAAGCACACTTTTCAGTGTAACTGACTCTGTGGCGTACTCCTGGTATAGAAGACAGTAAAATTTGACTGATTTGTCATATATTCAACCAGAGTAAGACTCTGGATTGAAGTGCAGTAAATAGACTTTAGGTCTCCATACTCAGCCACAGGTGCTACAGTGAGGCCATTTCTACTGTGGGGATTCAAGATTCATTACTTGAAATCTTCATGTTGTGTCCTTGGTAGTACTGGTTGAGTTTTCAGTATATCCTCTATTACAAGGACCAAAGGAGTTTTACTCAACTTCTTCTATACTTTTCAAGTGTTCTTTACACCTCACATCATTATTTCAGCTCTTCTTAGACATGGGGAGTTATATTCATATCTGATTTAACTCCTTGCAGCAGATATGAGACTTAGTTTCTGGAATTTGCAGCACATCATGGATTTTATTCAGCAGTTGGTGCTGACAGTCCTGTAGCTGTCCCTGCCATCTGGGCTCCAGAGGAGCTTCTTGAGTTCATGGGTTTTGTTAAACCACCTCTGACGCAGAACTGCTCCTTCAGTGTTTGTGATATTAGGAATATTGCTTTCATTTATGGCTTTTAGTCTTAAAACTAACAGAGAAATTGACATTTACGGGTTTTTGTTTCTCTGTTGTCATGAAAAGCTTGTCATTTAAGTACCTTGTCAGTCAGTGTGGGCTGTATGCTACATTGCAGCTGTGCAAGGGAAAAGTGCTATTCTTTTGAGTGCCTTTCAAGTGACTGACAGGTCAAAGTAGTTTAAGTGGTCTTCCTAATAGATGGTAGCATAGTATTTTGATTTTCCTACTTTCATATTTCGTAGGAGAAGAAAGAACTTTAATACAGTAATTTTCTTCAAGTTCTTACTTCCTATTTTAATTGAGTTATATAAATAGGGTGGTTTCTTTTTAATGAATATAAACTTAGAAGAGATATTCAGTAATATAAAATAAAAAGGCAGTTTACTTCTGATCTTTCTTTAATGTATCATTGTGAAACTCCATTCCACAGTGCACGACCTCTCACCACTTCTCATTTCCGATCACATACTTTTTCTGGAATTAATTAGCTGTATCCTGCCTTGATGACAGAGAAAGAAAGGAGTACTACTTACTGTATCCAAGCAAGGCTGACTAAAAAAGAGAAAGGGACAAGTAGCCCCTCTGCAGTTATGATGCCCTTGCTGCTGAGGCAGCTTCTCCCTACTGCCGCTTACCATTGCTGGGGTAATATTGAGAGCAGGTTACAAAAAATCAATTTGGCATTTGAAGCTAAACTGTAAAATAAACATCCAGTGGAGTGCAATGTGATAAAGCGTGATCTCCTTCAAAAGCTGGGGAGATATTAGAAATGTGATTGAATTTTTGAGACTGGATGACAGTTATTTGTCTCTCTAAAATTCCATGTTTGCTGTGAGGATAAAAATGGTTTTGATATATTTTAGCTAACACATAAGAAACTCTATGTGTTAAAATACTTCTCTTGAGTTCTGTGCATAAGAAAGTTACCCCTGTAATGTGTGCTCCTTTGTCAAACTAACAAATGAGAAGCAACCATTTATTGTTGGGTCACGGCTAATGAATGTGGTAGTACAAGAATAGCTTAATTTCCCTGCACTAGGCCTACAAAGGCAGTACTTACAAAAAATTACATGTATTCAATATATGTGCTTCTTTCTACATAAATAATGAAAAATGTCTCAATTCTGACATCTAAACTATCAGCACTGGGCACTGGTGTTACTGCCATTTTGAGAAGACCAGTGCAGAGAAAAAGGGCTCTTGGAC